ATGTCTTTGTGTCATCCCCGGGGCGGTTGGCAAAGCCTCTGGCTCCCTGTCAATAGTTTTCAGTAGGAGGCAGGCCAGGCAGGCCCCAGGGACTGTGGGAACTGCTTCCATGTTAAAATTTTGTATTTTTGTTCCATTGTTTATGCTGATATAAAAAAAACCCCAAAGCTTTCCCAGAGTTTGGAACCCTTTCCTCCGCTTGAGGAAATCCTACAGTAGTCGCTAGGTGGCGCTGGAGGCACACTGAGAAGGTTTAGTAACGTTTACTTGAGGGAGTGGGAGAATAGGGAGGAGGGGCAGGTGGAGAGTTTCGGGTCATTCTGCACCTCCTCTGCGAGGCCTGGTTTTCACTGTGGGTCCAGGCTCCTGGGCACGGTGTTCGACAGTGGACGCTAGCGGGAGCCGAGGCGACCGTAGCAGGGGCCCCTTTGGCCGTAGGAGCAGCGGCGACTAGGCCACCGTGGTTGTGGAGCACCGACTCTCCGCAGCTTGCGGTCCTGGCCCCCTGGACCGCGCCCTGGACCTCCGAGCGGCAGGCAGCATTTTGCAGCCCTGAGTGGGCGAGTGAGGGCCTGGCCTGGCTCAGCTGCGACCTGGGCCCACATGCAGTTCTGTTCTGTGTGGTCGGGAAGGGGTTGATTTGCCTCTGGAGACCCCAGGCTCACCACTAGGAGACAAAACACCCAGAATGTGGGTGGAACCGGGCTGCCCTTCCCAGGTCTCAGGCCAGGACTACAACCTGGATGAGGGACCCCACCTTGCGAGGCTTCTGCTGCCTCGGGAAATGCGGCCATGGCGCCTTTAAGAGCCCAGGGCAGGCAGGAAAAGAATTTCAGTTTCAATCTGGCTTCTAAATTTGGAGTTTTGGGAAGGGAGGGATCAGATTTCAGCTGGAAGGGAAGGAGCTGACAGGAAGGCGCTGTGCAGAGCCTCCCCCACCCCCGCCCATCCCCCTCGGTTACTGACAGAGGAACCATTTACAAAAGGCCGATTCTCTGGGGAGTGGAGAGGCAGGAACGCAGCGTCTGTGAGTAATTTCCTGCTCAATATGGCTGCTCTGACTCACACGATTCCCCTGGGGTCACTGCGGGACTGCAGCTTGCTTGCTCCTTCTCGCTCTTTCTCTTCTCCCTTTGTGGCTAGAGTGAGCTATTTTTTTTTTTTTTTTTGTCTTTTCACCCCTTTTTCTTTTTCTCTACGTCTGTTTTTCTTTCCCAGAGTTTCAGCGTCTCCTGGAGGGCCTGGGGAGGCCTGGGGCACAGAAGGCCTGCGGGGTGTGCAGGGCAGCCCCTCCAGGGAAACAGCATCCCTGGCCTTTCCTCGGTGGGGGCCCAGGGCCACGGCGCTCTGCCAGCAGCCAGAGAGGCTTTGGGGGAGCTGCCCCGTGGCCCTGGTGCGTGAGGCTGGCCCAGGAGGCAGAGCCCCTGGTCTCCCAGTGTCGGTTGCGCACTTGGCCACGGAGTCCTTGCTGAGCGGCCTCGGAGCTGCTGTTGCGGGAAGGAGGCAGTTTGCCACCCGGGCTTGCCCAGAGAGGGAAACTGCCTGCACAGCTCCAGAGACCCCAGCTTCCTTAGGGCCTGGAAGGAAGGGTGCAGCTGAGGTGGGAGCCTGGGTGAGCCTGACACAGGCTGGGGCCTGGGGGGAGGGGCCGGGGCGGGGCCTGACTGGGGGCCCTTGGAACAAAGCTTTCTGAATGAGGCCTGGTAGGCCTGGCTGCCCTCCTGGTCGGGGTGCCTCAGCCCTTGGGTGATGGGGTGGAGGGAGAGGCTCAGGAGGAGCCCCCTGGGGCCAGAGTGGGTTTGTCTTGGTCGAATGCCTTGGGCTCTGGCCTTCCAGCTTGTGGGGAGGGGAGGCAGGATCATGGGGGCTGTTGAGGCAGGCTCTTTGGGGACTTGGGCCAGTAAAGGGAGGTGACAGGGATAAGAGGACAGCTTTTTTGACTTGCAAGTTGTCAGAGTTGCCCTTACTGGAGGAGAGTGGGTCACAGGGAGCTCACAGCTCAGGGGTGGGGCCTGTGTGCTCCTGAGGGCCTTAGGGTTAAGGTGCCCCAGTTTGGAGAGAGCTTCGGGCTTACCCGTCCTCCCTGAAGTGGCTCCCAGGCCTCAGTGCACAGTTTCTTCTGGAACTTTCCCCCACTCGGGGCCCAAGACTTGGTTTCCTTGCCAGGCTCAGCCTCTTTGCTTTGGTCACCTCTCGGCAGCCTGGGCCCAGGATGTGGAGCTTGGTGCCCCAGTACAAACTCTGCTGTATGCTGAGGATGCTCACGAGGGCGTGTGAGCCTCTGGGTGACGAACACGGGCTGGCCTGCTGTGTCCGAGGGTACACTCAGATACACAGGCTCCCCTCTACGGTGGTTCCCGAATGTCACTGGGCGCTGCAGAATTTCTCTCCTCCTTCATGGAAGGTAGTAGGAGGACACCATCCTTTGCCATGTCCTGGCCCGGCCAGGCTGCCTTTTTCAGTAGCCACCTTCCTGACCTTCCAGTCTGTGTGCCTGTCCTCAGAGGGCTGTCAGAGACCTGGGTTTGGTCACACCCACCTCGGCCCGCCGAGCTGACCCCTTCCTCTGCTTCAGCTCTGCTGTGACGGGGCAGACCGAGTGCCCTGTGTGTGCGCCAGGGTGGGGAGGTGCTGGGTGGGGATCGGGGGCCTGGAGCACGGGGACTGGGCTGCTCTCAGTCAGAATGGGGTTGATTCCCTGCGCAGGGAGGCAGGCTGTGGCTCCAGGGCCAGGGTTGGCAGGAGCTGCATGGGGAACTTGGGGAGAGCTTTCCTGTGCTGCTGGCCCTGGGGCAGCAGGGACTGGGACAACGAGGGGGCCTGGGAGGGGTGGGCAAGGGAAGTTTATTTTCCCAGTGACCCTCAAAGACCAAGGGGGACCCCTAACTTGGGCATGTACATGTGCCTCACAGGCAGATGTGGCTCGATCCTTCATGCATGTGTGTACGCATGTGCATACATGTGTGCCTGTGTGCATGTGTGTAACCACACTTCAGGGGAGCGAGCACGAGTGCCAGGCCCCTCACCACCACCGTGTGGACTTTCTTCCAGATGAAGACGGGCCCGTTTGCAGAGCACTCCAACCAGCTGTGGAACATCAGTGCCGTCCCCTCCTGGTCCAAGGTGAACCAGGGGCTCATCCGCATGTACAAGGCCGAGGTGAGGGCCTGGCGGCCGCCTGCGCCTGGGCTGCTGTCGCACTTGGGCCTGGGCTGCCGCGCACACGCACACACACACACACACGCACGCACGCACACACACACCCTGCTTTGCCCTGAATCTTAGGCCAGCTCCTCTGACCCTTGGGACCACAGGACCCCCTGTCAGGGGGCAAGGCAGGCAGACAGCCCAGCTCTGCCCCAATAGCTCAGCAAGGCCCTGCTGCTGGTAGAGAAGGGCCTTTGCTCCCGTTTGTCTGATAGCTGGAAGCCCCCGAGTGTGTCCCCCTGTGGCGACATGAAATGAAGGAAGGTGTCCTTGGGAAGGGTTTTCTCCTTTGGAGGTGTCATCTCAAACTGGAGTGTCTGCCGACCCTGGCAGGAAGGTCTGGGGAAGCCAGGAACCACATTGATGCTGCTGGAGCTCCCCCTGCTGGAGGCGCTGCCCTTCGGCTCCCGAGGCTGTCCCCCGCCTCCCCCAACACCTTGGCACAGTCTCCCAACTGAGGGGGTGGCTGACTCTCCTGGGAGGAGGGTGAGAGGAGAGTGGTGAGCAGGGGGAGCCAGAGGGGGGCCCTTCTCCCCTGCCCCTCCCACCAGTGCCTTCCCCTACCCGCATACTAGTCCTGAACTGCTTGACCTTGGTAGGGGGAGGCCTGGGTCCCAGAGTCCCTTGTTTTGGGTCTTGGCTGCCTTAGTTTATGGCAGGTGACCATGGGTGCCACTGTTCTGACCCCTGGCCATCCTCTTTGGGGGCAGAGGGAAGGTGGCGTTCCGCCGACTCAGGCTCTCTGCAGAGGCAGGGTGGTGGAGAAGGGCACCAGGCCGCAGGGCCTGAAGTACTGATTCCTCCAAATGCTTGCCTGGTGTTCTGGCGTGGCCCCGAAGGGTTAATGGTGCGAGAACTGACCTGGCCAGGCACGCTTTCCCTTTCGGCCGTTTTTTGGGTCCCTTTCCTCTGGACGCCACATCCTGTGTTTAGGCTCCAGCCCACATACCTCTCTAATCTGAGAGGCGAGCTATGGGGCTGCCTGGCCTTCCGCTGAGCCTCCTGGCCTCCCGCTGAGCCTCCTGGCCTCCCTGCGCAGCCCTGCGGGGCCTCTCTGGCCCTCCCCAGCCCACAGGTGTCCTGTTGTTCATGACAGCCCCACGGGGGGCGGGCCCCGCGGCCTGCCGTGCTCTCCCTACCGCTGGGGCGGCCTCAGCTGAGGGGCGCACGGCTGTCCCCACGTCCGTGGGACTCTCACCACGGGCTCTGGCTGCCTTCTCTGCCCGTCCTTGTCAGTACGTCCTTTCTGCAAGTCTCCCAGCTTGAGTCACTTCAGACGAACCTTGAGCCAGGCCCACTAAGGGCAGGGAGAGGGACCCTTCCCTACCTGCCCTTCCACCAGCAGAAGTCCAGGCTGGCTGGTTCAGGTTCAGAAGGGGCCCGTGCAGCAAGGACACAGCACGAGCCGTCCATGGTGTAAGAGGGTCGTGTCTGTGGTTGCTGGGCACAGGGTGTTGAACACAGGAGGACAGTGGCCGAAAACAACCTCTAGAACAGTGCGCCTCGCTCCTGCCGCAGAATGGGCGATTCCAGCCGGGTGTACACAGGCATGGGCGGGGATGGCTGTGGCCACACCAGGGCTTGTGCCAGCCTGCTATGCAGGAAACCTGGGCCTCACTGGCTTTAGCTAAGGACAGCACACCTTCGCAGCATTCAGCACGCACTGACCGAGTCACTAGTAGGTGACCCTCGGCCTTTGGTCCTGGAGGGCCCTTGGGAGTGCATACTCCCTGCCCAGAGGACCGGGGGAAGGACCGGCTTTTCTGGCCCAGTTCTCAGGCCTTGGGGAGCACCACTGAGTCTTGAAGTTC